ACTGCACTTTCGCTGTTCCTTTTGCTAGTTCATGTTAACTAGCAGGTGTGAAGCATGAATGGTACAAGTGAGCCACTTTGCATGCAGGAATTCACGGATCTTCACAAGGTGTTCTGAATACCTTTGCTGAGCACCACTACGTGCCCCCACCAAGCCGAACCGTGTCTACTTCTCCGAAGAAAACTTTCGAATCAGTGACTTTACCAGGTAGGTTTGCTACTCCGCGATCACTCCCCCACTGAGCTTGTTTCACCTACGCCTCTACACCCTCTGCCAGAACACTATTTCATTTGCCGCCCAGTGATGTAGATTGTAGTTGTCATACTTCATGAACGTCAAACTCATTGAAACCTAGCGAGGGTGTGGGTCAGGACATCCACGTTGCGGCAACACGCACAAGGCAGCGCGCACACCATTTTTTAACTAGCTAACTCTTTTGCTCCAACACTTACACGACCAACCAGGACCAAATGGGTCTTGACGAGGCCACTTCGCACACGCGATGTCAGCTAGAACGCCGCTCTCGCTATGACGCCGCAACTCGGATCTCCTGACCGTGAGATGCCCCGTAATTAGGGTGGCCTCCTGAGAGAACCCCTGGAACCACCCCCATGATGCAAGACCATTCAAATAGAAAACTGCGAAACAGAAGCTCAAAATACAGCCTGAAAACGCAACCCACGAAAAACCCAGGGAGTCAATACGTATCTTTTGTACAAAGAACACTCTTTACAACATTTATATTCAATTCTTCTTATCAAGATCTTTACATCGTAAGATTAGCCTTGTAAAGACATGGACAATGAAAGATACAAATTACATGGAAATGGTTATAAAGCGAAAGAAATCGATTCGGCACTATTATACGTATGCATGCATCTCTATGGCTTAATCAATAATAAAAAAGGAATTTTCAAAAACACGTAACGAGTGGAATAAAAGGCATGGGTCACACGGCAAAATAGACCAGTTAGAGGCCAAAATCCCTTCAAATAATTGCACGATCTACGCCTTTGTCGGCTGTGCAGCTGGTAAGTTGTGGCCGCGAGCGGTCCCAACTTGAGTTCATTCCATACAGAAGTATCCCGTTACTGTGAATTATTACCGGGACATTTCTATTTGTACTAGTGGTGACAAGCAGGTCGTACATGGTACAAACCGCTCTGCGACCGCACGCGTCACTGAATCGTAAACCACACAACCCACTAACCGCGTTGATTTGACCGTACAATAACCTTTAATTTCGAGCCCATAGGTTAGTTCTTACCATACAACTGACACCTAATTCCTAAGTAGTTTATAAATATAGTGGATAAAAAAGTGAACACAAGCTCCACTAAACCCATGAACAACTTTTCTGACCCTGGGGTTAAGCGTACTACAACAGACCCGTATAAATAACGTTGTTCATGCTACAATACTTCAGGTAAGGTACTAGCGAGCTCCAAGAAGGGTATCCAGCGCCTTCACACGATCGCCTTGGCTCTTCAGTAGTGCTGAAAACACTTCCTCTGCACTGAAACCCATACCGAGCAGCTGTTCAGCCGTCTGCGCACGTTGCACCACTGCCTGCAACACTTTTATATGAATCAATCACACCTCGTCTTATTGCAAACAAACAAGTAAATAAAGAAATCAATAAAATCAACAAATAGTTCTCTACTATCAACTTTCACGGTCACTGTCACAGAGCTCGTCGTTGTAATCGACAGCCAATCAGCTGTCTGATCCTTAGCCAATAGCCAACCTTTTATGACACACCAATAAATCTTGGACGAGTCATAAACTTACACCAGAAGAAACGGACACAGCAAAACCTGTTCACCCACCTGCTCGACATAAAAGCGCAATCAAACGCTTAGAAGACTCGAAAGGTAAGGGGCTGGGATGGCAATATGTGAAGTCCATCAAAGCATCTAGCAACTATCTTGGGGTCTAATAGCTTACTA